TATACATTAGTTAGGCGTGGGTATGTCGCGAATGTCACTTGTGTTGTAATCTTTGCTGTTCAAAGATCAGGTGTCACCCAGGAGTTGAAATCCGAGTGACTTGTTGGAAACGATGTAGTGCGCGAACCATGGAGCCCTTGCAACCTGGGAGGGCCAGAACGCATTGGAATTCGGGTGATGATGACAATCAAACCTCAAGATTACATGGAGTGCCCTTTCCAAAGTAAAAGTATGGTTCTCGGCCGTCCAGTGGATTACTCTTAAATTGTCTGTTCATTATTCCTGTTGAGTCTCGGCATCTGTTGCAAGAGAAACTTGTTCACATCATCCCACGTCTGAAGTTCAATCACTTGCATTTGTCAGGGAGCAAACATTTTACGGCAGTGAACAGATTGCACACCGGCGTGAGGCCAGTACTGGAGAGCTTTTGCCAGCTAAGCCAAGTGGCTCCTGCACAGTGACCTTGCTGGATGCACGGAGCCAGTACGACGCCGGTTGGACAATTCTGAATGTTCATCAGCCTGCAGTCCAGACGAATGCCTGCATCCAACCACCTGGTGTGTGTTTGCCTTCTTTGGCCAGGGGGCAGATTGTAGAGATTCACACCGAAGAAGAAAAGTCCCAAAGCACCTTTCTCGTGTCGACACAGCATGTGGTACGAGTCACGCAGAAATGTGTATGGCCACTGCACACGTGAAGCCCAGTCCAGAGTCTCCCATAATTCCGCACAGATACCCAGAAAGCTGTTCATGAGGCCGAGAACGAGCTGGAGGAAGCCTTGCGAACATTTCTCTGCCAAGGCCACCAGCAACTAGACAACTCAAAGATCTGAACATAAACTCCTACAACGTGTTCTCCTTTGACCATTTTGTGGCATGACTCCACGAAGGACAAGCAACGTGCAACGTTTCAAAAGTACAGACTTTGGTTAACACCCAGGGTGGCAACCTGCCGTTTCGTCTGGCCCAGATGGTGTCCCGCCGCTACCAGGGTAGCCTGCATTGGGAATCAATTTGTGGTACATGTTTAAGTTTCAAGGATGTGCCACAGCCATTCCCGGCTCTCATCGGAAGAGCCAGAGGTTGGAATCTGTTCTTTTCAATACTGGTCTCCCCTTGATTATGAACATCTTATTGACTGTCAGGCAGTCTAGAAGCCGAAATGATGACAATATGACTTTGAGCTGGAATATGGAACCATAATGTTGGTA